AAAAAAAAAAAAAAAAAAAAAAAAAAAAAAAAAAAAAAAAAAAAAAAAAAAAAAAAAGGCTTACTTGAGAGAGAGCTCGGGTAAGAGGCTTAACAGAGGAACCGCCGAAGTCTACAGTTTCAAAAGGAATCAAATCCAATTTGGAAAGCGAAGCCAGTGGCGAAGGAACCAACGCCGACGAGGGGTCGAAAGACGGCGGCGGCAACAGCAGAGGCGGCGAACTCCCAGACCCACCGCCGCCGCAGATACGATTTAGCAGGCGGCGAGAAGGGGCGAGAGCAATAGGGAACCAATCTATGACAATTCTCAAAACCCAAACCGTAAACCAAGAGGTGAGCATGAGCATGAAGCGGAAGTGGTCGGCGGGGCGCCATTTCCTGCCGGAAAGCTCGTTTTTGGCATTAGAGGCGACGGAGACGAGAGAATTAGCGGCGATATTGACAGTGGACATGAAAAATGAGTTCAGGAGAGATGATGAAGAAGAAAAGGGTTTTCTTCTATAGGCGTAGGCTAAATCCAACCCATTCGCCGCCATTGAGAGATGAGAGGTTTGAGAAATAAACAGAGACGGCCGGACGGAATTTCAGCTTCTCCGGTGATGCCGATGAAAGCTGGAAATAAGAGCTTCAAAGTAATCGTAAACAGAGGAATTATAAGATATATATATAGAAACAAAGGAGGACGAAGGGGGTGTTTAATTAAATAAATTAATATAATAATTAGCTAAAATATATGTCGGAAATTATTTGTCGTTATTTTCTCATAATTAATATTAAATTATAAATTTATTTATATTTTTAATAAGATCAATATTTAGTAATAGTTTAGGGACTTATAATAAGATAATATTAAAAGTATTAAAAATGTGTTAGGAGCGTATTAAACACAACCTTAAAAAATAGTTAACTAGTAAATTAAGATGTTAATTAACATTAATAGTGAGTAAGTAAGGTTTAAGTGTAACATAAATGAAGACTTAAAGGAAGAGGAAAGGCATGTGTTTGGGATAGGGTTAAAGGCGGCAATATGGAGTATTGTTGTGTGTGTTGGAGAAAGTGCTTTGTAATGAAGTGAAATGTCCAAAAAGTGCATTGGTTCGTGTCTCAACTTTCATCTAAAAACTTCCTACTTGCAGACTTATTTGAACTCCTGTACAACTTCTACACCGACTTTAAACTATTCTGTGTATTCAAAACTTTCCTATTTCATTCGTTATGTTTTATTATGTAATGTTATTGTGAGATCTTACGTCGGTTGAAAAGTGGAAAGAAGACGACGACAATACGTAGCCAATAAAGACATTGGGTCCCTAAAGGAGGTGGATTGTGAGATGGAGAATTGTACGATGCTCTCCTTATAAGCCTGTGAAAACCTCTTTTGCACTTCTTATAAGTGTGAAAATTTCAAACATCTTATGTGAGACTAGACTAATAGTGATATACAATGGATCAAAACAGACAATATCTACTAGTAGTATACCTCTCCCGTGAGACTAATGACAATATGTAACGGGCCAAAACAAATAATATTTATCAACAATGAGCTCAAGTTGTTACCCTTACCATTTAAAAGATACTTCAATGTTAAGAAACAAACTCCAACACGATTCTCAAAGGAGCTCCAAGATATTGATTACGTGTCAATTCAATTCAATTTTTGTGTTCCTTTCACTTTTTCTAACTCGACTAATTAACACTTTCTTTTCGATCGAGAGTCCAATCTTACACCGTTAATAGTACAAACGAGAGATAGCAAACGGGTGGTCTCCACAAGGAGTAGTCCCATAGGATGCATCAAAATATCTCACCTCTTGTTTTGTCATAAAATATCTTCCTACCACTTTTCTAAAGCCATCTCACAAGCATCATCTCACAACTCCTCTCTTATCCTTCTTGAAAGCTTGGAAGATGAGTACCTCATGGCTTCCTCTGTACACACACACTGCGGCTGCAACCGCAAGACAGTATCCAACTCAAACAAAGTTAGGATCCTACAACTCTTCAACTTCCAGAAAGCCTTATGGCAACACTTTGTCATGCAGGGCAGCTTCTTCAATTACAGACTTCGATCTATATGATCTTCTGGGCATCGACAGCTCCTCCGATTCATCACGGATCAAGGCAGCCTACCGCGCCCTCCAAAAGCAGTGCCACCCCGACATCGCCGGACCTGCTGGCCATGACATGAGTATCATTCTCAATGAAGCATATTCACTTCTGTCGGATCCTAGTTCTAGGCTGGCTTATGATAAGGTCAGAACTCAAATACACTAATCTACTTTGTACAATTCGATTCAGAAACCAAGGTTTTTGACATGTCCACAGGAGCAAGCGAAAATGGCAGAACTTCGAGGTTACACAGGGAATCCAGTTTATTCAGTGTGGCTCGGGTCGGAAAACGAACAACGGGCGGTTTTTGTAGATGAAGTGAAATGTATTGGCTGCTTGAAATGTGCTTTATTTGCCGGTAAAACCTTTGCTGTCGAATCTGTGTATGGGAGAGCTAGAGTTGTGGCACAGTGGGCTGATCCTGAATATAAAGTGATGGAAGCTATTCAAACTTGCCCAGTTGACTGCATTTCGTGAGTGTTTACTCAGCCAGTTGCTGATTAGCTTATAAGTTGTTAGGAATCACGAATCTCTACAATTGTATAATATTGTTCAGTTTGAGCACAAGTTTTTAGGCTTTGCTTTGGGCTTCCCCAAAAGGCCTCGTACCAATGGAGATGTATTCCTTATTTATAAACTCGTGATCATTCGGGACTCCCTCCCGACAATCCTCAACATAAGTGTCTTCTTTTTCCAATACAGGATGGTGGAAAGGTCAGATTTAGCAGCCTTGGAGTTCTTAATGTCAAAGCAACCGCGTGGAAATGTAAGAGTTGGAATGAGCAACGCAGCTGGTGAACGAGTGTCGAATATCTTCACAGACGTGAAGAAATTCCAAGCCAGATTCAAGGAGGCTATGGAGAAAGCTTCAAAAGAGCATTCCAAGGTTAGATCCAAATAGATACTAATCACAATAAGTTCAATATCTCCAACTCAAAATGGCTTAAAATTAATGATACCCTTTACTCTACAATGGTGTTTTACAGGGGGCAACCTTTGAGAATGAAGCCCAGTTGGCTGCAATTCAGACCATCAGATCAATCTCAAATTGGCTATTTTGGCAGACAGCCACGCCGGCTGGACCTGGATCAAAACAGGGCCAAAACCTGACGCACATCGCCACCAAATCCACACCAGAAATCAACAGGCTTCAGGCTGCTGTTACTGCAAGGAAACAAATCAGGGCAAAAGCTGAAGACAGAAATAGAGCTACAGAAAAACATATATACAAGGATGATTACTGGGTTCCGACCACTCTTGCACTTCCAACCTCAACTCAAACTCCAAACAGCACAATCTCAAAGTCAAGAGTGGAGACCAAACCTATCAAAGAACCAAGAGGCCTTGGTGATGGTGGTCATGTTAGCCCCATGAGGTTGGCATTACCAATTTCGATATCGATAATCGCAACTGCTGCGATTCAGCAAATGATGAGAAATGATGGTGCCAGCAGCTTAAAGGAACACATTGGCGGTTCTATGGCTCTAGAGTTAGTTAACAGTCACTGGATGCAGGTTATGCTAACAGGCGTCACTTGGTATATCATTGGGATGGTTGTAATGGGAATGGTAGAAATGATTGGAAGAAAGATTAGGGATTAAGAAGTACACATGTAGCAAGGCTATCCAGATGATAGAAGTTGCTTACATAGCTATAGCTGTACAGTAATAAAAATGGAAAAAGACATGACAGAATTAAGAAGCAGAGTGTATTAGACATGGTAAACAAACTTTATATTTGTGTATCATACCCATTTGCTCACAAACTAGGCGGCTCGTCCAATACATCATCACAACGTATGCTAGAAGATATTGTCCTCTTTAGGCTTTCCCTTTGGACTTCCCTTCAAGGTTTTTAAACCACGTCTGCTAGGGAGAAGTTTCCACACCTTTATAAAGAAGATGTGGGACCTCACAATCCACTCCCTTTGGAGCCTAGCGTCCTTGCTGACACTCGTTCCCTTCTCTAATCGATGTAGGCCTCCCAAATCCACCTCCTTATTGTGAGATCCCACGTCGATTGGGGAAAAGAACGAAACATCTTTTTATAAGGGTGTGGAAACCTCTCCCTAACTAAGGGGAAACTTGAAAGAAAAAGTCCAAAGAAGACAATATTTACCATACTAGTGGTGGGGCTTGAGCCGTTACAATTCATGAGTCAAATGTTTTGAGACACGTAATGACATCCAAATATACCATATCCATTTTTTGAGTTAATGTACAGATTTTCAAGATGCAAGGTCTTAAATTAATGATGATGGACTATATGGATTGATTGAAGATCAATCCAAACAGAGATTTAGTAGCGATATTTGGTTGAATAGTCCTTAGGTGCAATGACCAAACCACGACCTTTCCTTGCTCCACGATAGACAGTCTCAATAATATCAATGAACTCTTGCTTATCCTTGAGTGCCCAGTTTATCTTATTGTTGTTACCAGTACCAAGATCAATCATTATGTGCTTGTTCCTAAAGAAGAACATGACAGTAGAAGGATCATAGAGCTCGTACATTGTGTTGAAATCAGGAACCTCTGTGATATCCACAAGGTATATTACTGCAAAGTTCTTAATCGTCTCTGCAACTGAGGCCAACACTTCATCCATCTACAGCAAAAACATATCAAACTATAAAACGTTACCAAACAATTAACATAAGAATGTTGGAGAGTGGAATTTAGATTAATTATATAAATCTTTCGACTTTCTGTAAATAATTTCAATGTTAATATAAAAAAGATCGACTCCCTTTGAAACTTGTAGACACTTGGCCACGTAGTAATGGATAATAAGCTAAGTTAGTATACTAAAAGGGAGGTAACAAAGCTATGAGACCGAATATACTAAAACGAGTTTACTGTGTTTGAATAAATAGAATAAATAGGAAAAAGTGCTGCATCAGAATAACTATTAAACAATTTTTAATTTTTTTTTTAAGAAATTAATTTGTGTATATATAAATTTGAAATTTTGTATAGAGTAATTTTTATCTCAAATTTAAAATTATATATATATATATATATATATATATATATATATATATATATATATATATATATTAGAGCTAAATTGACATAAATCTTGAAATTCGAAGACTATAATTTTAATTTAACTCGAAAAAATAGATAAATGTTAAAAAAAATCAGTAAGTTTCAACTTAGGAAGTGTGAAATTCAATTAAATAATTTGGTCTTCATCGTTTATAAATAATTTTGAAACGAGAACGTGTAAGAAATTATATTTAGTAGGGATTAATTCATTATAAATTATGAAATATAGAAACCAAATTAATGACTAAATTATTACCAACGTTAAAATATAAAATTAAATCCTTATATATTAAAATTCACAAACTAAATTATGATTTATTAATTTAAAACTAAATTGTTAACTAAAAATATGCTTCTTAATCTAGTAAAAACAAGACCTTGAACTAAATAATAAAAAATGGAACGAACTAGATGAAAATAATAATTTAACAAGAAAAAAAGAACTATATATATATATATATATATATAGATAGATAGATAGATATAGCTTCGTCTTTCTTTGATCTCTGCAAAAGAATAGGGAAAATTTTCGAACAAGAAAATCGTCGTCCTCTGTATATTGATCACCGAAGAGAATCGGAATCGGCAAGAAAATGCATAAAACCTCGACGCCGTGAAAAGCGATGAAAGCGAGGAGAAGAAGAGTTAGGGATTGGAAATGAGGTTACCTGCATACAGGTGTCGTCCCAATCATGGCCGAAGCGGATGATGACGACGCGTTCTTCTTCAGTGAGGATTGCTTGATCCACCGCCCAGCCTGAGTGCAGATGCGGCAACAGGTACGACATCTCCACGCCCTAAATTCTCTCCCTCGCTCTTTTTCTCTCTCTCTCGGAATCACCAAATTTTCGCTCCCAATTTTAAACGGAGAGCTCTCTGCGACGCACTCCCACAACCGAAGCCTCTAGAACGACGTCGAAACTGCCTGGCTGTTACACGCCCAATCCATTCGCTCCACGTGTTACCTCCTTTTCACCCTTCCAAAATCAATTAAATTAAATTAAATTATTTCATTATTTTTTAATTTAGAGGGAGAAGAAAATCTATAATAAAAAATAAAAAATAAAAAATTCAGTCTATTTAGGTTTCCTCGTCTTCTTCAATCTCAGATCCCAAACTCAGAGCTCCGATTCCGACGAAATCGCCTTGTATCGCCACAACCGACGATGGATAACCCCAAATCAAGGGCCGCCGCCGCCGACGCCGCCACTGCAGGCGGCGGAATCTGTCCATCATACAAGAAATACGAGATCCGCCACCGACTCCCAAATCCAAAAATCGCCGCACTCTTAGTGATCGACATGCAGAACTACTTCTCCGCCATGGCCAAACCCATCTTCTCCAATCTCCTCACCACCATCCGTCTCTGCCGTGCCGCCTCCATCCCCGTCATCTTTACCCGCCACGCCCACGCCTCTGCTTCCGACAACCCCATCCTTAGCGAGTGGTGGGACGGCGATATCATCCTCGATGGCTCCCCTGCCGCCGACCTCATCCCTAATCTCGACCGGCAGGCTACCGACGAGGTCATTCGGAAGAACACCTACAGCGCGTTCAGGAACACGCGACTAGAAGACTGCCTAAAAGAGAAGGGCGTGGAAGAAGTGATTGTAACAGGGGTTATGACGAACATCTGCTGCGAGACGACGGCGCGTGAGGCGTTCGTTAGAGGGTACAGAGTGTTCTTCTCCACCGACGCGACGGCGACGGTGGACTTGGAGCTACACGATGCAACATTGAAGAATTTGGCTTATGGGTTCGCTTACTTGGTGGATTGGCAGAGGCTCCAAGAAATTTCAGGTAATTGAAACTCCATGCCTTATCTACTACTAAGTTTTCTTTTCTCCAAAATAGTTGGAATCATTTCAATGTTGGTTAATAGTTAGTTTTAAAATGTTAATCAATTAGCAATTGTAATGTACAAGTGATTGTAGCTGACAGAATATGTGTTTGTGGTCATGGGACTGATTGAAATGGACATTTGTCAACGTAGAGTTGACTTTAGAAAAAAGAATTATACGAACCAAAGTTCTAGCTAGCTAGCTGATTTAGTCAACTCATGCAACTCATAAGAGTGAATATATTCTTTCAAACCATGCAAACAGCTATAAATAGATATCAAACTCTCTTAGTTTCTGCAACTATTTGAGTTCAAATGAAGAAGAAAAGCCAGACATGGGTTGAGTTCTTGTTTTCTGGGACTCATCTTTGGCTTATCTTCTTACATTCTTTCTTAAAAATCCCTTTTTAAAGTTTCGAATGAGTGATTTGATCATTACTTGAGAGATTTAGTATGACACGAAGAGTGTTGTTTGATAGCCAAAAATGACTTGCCTGCTACTCCAAATTATGACGTTTTTAAGTCCGTATTTGATTTATGTATTGAGCGCTAAACTAACAAACTCTTCTCTATCATTCTAGATCTTCTCTTTTTTTTCATATTAAAAAAGAAGACAATCATAGTTATTATATTACATGTTAAAACGTTGATTTGCTCATGATTTTTAGGCTAAATGCTGTCAAGCAAGACTATATTTCAACTTTCGACCCAAAAAATCAGATGTTTGAATCCTATTCTACATGTTTCCGAACATTTCATAACAAGACCGAGGTACTAGGTATATATTATATTAATAGTTATTTATTATTTATGTGCTGTTAATTTTATATAAGATAAATAAATAAAAATCCCTTGCACTCACTCCATCTCTCTCCCAGTCTTAATTTCTCTCTCTTCCAGATTAATTCAAAGCTTGTTAGATGATGGATTTGTTTTTGGTGTTCTTTATTTTGAAAATTAGGCTGTTTTCTCACACATTTGGTAAGCTCCAGTTTTCAAAAACTATATATATATGAAATATTATATTATTTCAGGTAGGTTTTCATGGCGAGTTGATCACGTGATACTCATCAAGTATATTGTATATGACAAGTTTCTATATAAGGAATTTATTTTAATGAAACATCATACTTCACTTGCATATTTGTCTGTTACATATCTTCTAAATCAATGTCACAATTAAACGATCATTTTAGGAATCTAGTTCTATTTTAAAGTCATTTTTTCTATAATATAATGAAAATGTCGAGTTATCTATCATGTTGATGTTGAACTTATGAACATATGAGAATAAATCGATTTCATCTTGTTTGTAGAAAATGTTGGTCATTCCTATTTACCATACGCACGAAAATATCATAGTCAAATCACATTTACATTTGGACCATTGTTGAATTTTGGAGTGAATATATGTGATATGAACCATTAGACATTAATCATACGGTTAAAATTATTAAAAGATATTTCAATTCATGTTAAAATTATTAAAAGATATTTCAATTCATATTTCTTATAAATTTTGGGTGGATCATAATTTAGAATAATTTAGAGCTATGATGTTTGTTTAATGTATTTTAAGATTTATTTACATAGCGGCTAATTATAGTCATAAACTATGAATGTTACAAACTCTTCGAATGCCTCGAGTAAGGCGAAAGTTTATTTTGAAGCTATACAGAGAATCGATCAAATCTTACTTATACTGGATTAATTGGATTAACAAAATAATATTTAAGTGTGATTCCATATCAATATAGGTCTGAAAATAGGATTGATCGAGGACAACATCAGTCAACTACCGTTGACTTTGCAAAAAGTGTGTATGAATCAAAGTTCTAGCTAGCTGGTTGAGTCAACCATACAATGAATGTTCAAATTTCTTCGGACCATTTTTACCGCTGTGCTTGAGACATAGAATGTTCAAATTCATCATGTCATTGCAAATCCATGTTTAAGTCAGCTCCAATCTCAAATCACAATCTTCCAAATCTAAGAACATATAAGCAACCACAGATCATGATAAACAGCAAGCACCTGCCTACGATGGACTACACAGGACCGAGTAGCACGATTCGTCATCAGCTTGTTGTCCCAGTTTCGTGACCGAACTTCGGCAAGAGATTTTGAATCATTGCAAAATCGAAGTTCGTCGTTTCCCGAAGTCGGGTGGCAGCCAAGCAAGAGTAGAACTTCACTAGAGGTCTCTCAAGCATTTTCTCAAACATATTATCGGCACGCTAGAATAGCTCACAATTTCAAAGAAGAATAGCAACAACCCCTACCCTTTTTCCAACTCGACCATAAGAACAAACTTCGGGTCGTGGGTTTCGTTTCTCTGTCGAACAGAACAGACAATTTCGGGTTTAGCTTTCTTAAACTCCCATAGTCAACCCAAAATATCTAAAGAGAATACATGCAACATGAAACAAGAAGAGTTTGTCAGATTAGCCAAAAAGACTGCCTGATTAATACGAAGCTCATAAGTTCTAAATTACAAAACGTAATCTTTTGTTCATCACGACAACAGGCAAGTCATTTTTGGCTATCAAACAACACTCTTATCTTCACGATGCATCTCTCTTCTTAACCATTTCTCGACAATAATGAGTTTGATAGTCTCCATATTTATAGCTACAAAAAGCAAGGCAAATGGGATGGGAAGTCATAGAAGGAATTTACCTATATTCTTCAAAGTTGCATGATGGCATCGTGTCGGTTTCAATCCAATTATTCTTGTAAGTCAACTCCTTACTTGTTAGGAAATATTAGAGTTGACTTTAATCAATTCATTCTTACAAAGAATAACAACGTGTGCTGACATGTTGAGTCAACTTCACTCAATTTTATTCTTCTAAGTCAACGAGAAGTGATAAGGTATCAAAAAAACCAAGACACGATTCAAAATGGTTTACTCTTCTTAACATAAACGTGCACTTGTTATACATAAACGTCCTAGTTTACTTGGATGTTGACTCTAATAAAAGAAAATAAAAAGTAAATTCGTATATAATTTTAGTCAACTTATGAAGCAAGTTCAGGGGAATATATTCCAATTACTTTTCATATCCCATTTGGTTGAAATTTGTATATAAAAGCTAGTGGAACCCCGGTGCTCAGAATTGTGAATTGAAGAAGGAAGATAGATCGAACATGAAGATGTGAAAGTTTGTTTAGTGAGCCAAAGATGACTTGCCTATCGTGAAAGCATATAACGAAGGGTTTCTCGTCCAAGAAACTCTTAGTTATACATTTTATAGGCAGTTGTCTTTGGCTAATTTGATAGACTTCTATCTTTCATGTTCGGTCTTTTCTTCTAATATTTTCTCAAGAATACTCAAAAATTTTGTTAGGAGGTTCAAAATATCGAAGATTGTAGACAAGAAAGAAGTAAAATGAAAGAGAGGTATAGTATGAGAAGATAAGAGCGTTGTGTGATAGCCAAAAATGACTTGCCTGCAATAGCTCGTATGAAACTTTCTCGGTTGCTTTGATCAACCCTAGTTTCCAATGCTGGCGGGTCATTGAGGCTAACTTACGAGTTCTTTTCTTTCATGCTAGACCTTCTCTTTTAAATAATTTGAGGTACACATTGTTTCAAGACTTGATATGGTATTGAGTTTTACGTGATGAGTCAAAAAAATTTACGTCAGGACTGAGTAATTTGCACACCTACTGCCTTCCTTGGATGTGGTAGTCGTTTCTGAGGCTCTCTCTCTCTGAAATCGAACTCTAATTTTCCATCACTTGTCACCACCATAGTAGTCCACTATCCCACCATCGAAAGTTGATAGGGCAGAAATTTGAATGATGCATCACCAGCACAATAGTCTTGCGATTCGTCGAGCTATCATGAATCATCAGAACAACAGACAGTAGCATCTCATTTTTTCTAATTATTTTGCTCGTGACTTGAAAAATAGAAGAACTTAAATGCAACCTAAACCAACTTTGATAGGCTATGGAAGAGGATCTTCGTCTTTCTATTTTATCATCCTCTTCAAATCGCATCTGTTCTAGTTGAGATGTCAGTTAAAAACAATTTAATCCAATAAAAAAGGGATACATGCAAGACTTAGACATGAGTTAAAAGAATTTAACCCGATCAAACTAGCGACATGTCAGAGACATCCTAGTATTATAAATAAATATTATTGCATTGTCTTTATTAAAATTTCAAAATATTAACATCTATCTTCAATAAATTTATTACTAAAACAATTTTTGACTTTGTATTATATAAAAAAGGCGATAATATGATAACATTAAGATAAAAAATAAAAATGGTTACGGTATATCCAACATTTAAAAGTTTGTGGTAATTAAAATAAAATTATATATTATTATTTATTTATTACATAATTTTTTTAAAATAATAAAAAAAAAGATGAAAAGACTAAAAAATCCCTCATATTAGTAAAAAAAAAAAATGTTATTATCAATTTCATTATTTATTAGATGTAAATTTTAAGTTTTTGAAATAAATAATTTTTTATTTATTTACGTGAAATCTGATTTAAATATATACTTACTAAATTTAAAAAAAAAAATGTTTAACAAAAGTACATAAAAAAACATTATCTTTTTTAAATTATTCGAGAAGAAAATATATCACAAAAATAAAAAGAAGTTGTCAAATTAATCTATAGAAGATAATAATGTTACGCCCGCTCAAAATTATCCAAAAAGAATATGTGCAATATGAATAAGAAGAATGGGTCGCTACCGAGTTAATATGAAACTCACAAATTCTAAATTATAAAATGTGATCTTTTGCTCATCAAAATAGTAGTACAATCATTTTTGGCTATCAAACAACGCTCTTATCTTCATGACGTATTTCTTAGACGTGTTTTCCTTTAAAAGTGTGAGATTCTATTTTGGTTAGTGGAAGGAACGAAACATTTCTTAGAAGGGTGTGAAAACCTCTCCCTAATAGACACGTTTTAAAATCGTAAAATTGATGACGATACATAACGGACTGAAACGGACAATATACACTAACGATGAATTTAGAATATTACAAATAATAATAATAATAATAATAATAATGGATGCATTTGATACTAATGAGTTTGATAGCTATAAAAAGCAAAGCAAATGGGATGGGAAGCCATGAAAGGAATTTACCTATATTCTTAAAGCTGCATCATGGCATGGGTAAAGTAACACTTCATAATTTTATTCCTTCAATCATCTATTCTTTTATGTCAACTCTTTATCGAACTAATTTCGATCGAGGTTTCTCTTGACACGTTGAGTCAGTTCCAATCAATATATTCTTTTAAGTCAACGAGAAGCGCAGTGAAAAATTAAGATTTTATTCAAAAATAATTTACTCTACTTAATTTAAACGTGTTCTTGTCATGCATAAACGTTCTAGTTTACTTGGTTGCTTAATATTAATATTATATTATTAACGATCAAGTTATAATTTGTGTTTCATTTCAAAAGCCAGATTAACAGTTGACTTTAACGAAATTTATATATCATTTTAGTCAACTTATAAAGCAACTTAAGCGAATATATTCCAATTACTTTTCATATCCCATTTAGTTGAAATTTGTATATAAAAGCCCGTGGAGTCTTAGTGCTCGGAATTGTGAATTGAAGAAGGAAGATAGATCGAACATGAAGATATGAAAGTTTGTTTAGTGAGTCAAAGATGACTTGCCTATCGTGAAAGCATATAACGACGGGTTTCTCGTCCAAGAAACTCTTCGTTTTTCATTTAATAGGCAGTTGTCTTTGGCTAATTTGATAGACTTCTATCTTTCATGTTCGATTTTTTCTTCTAATATTTTCTCAAAAACGCCCGAAGCTTTTGTAAGGAGGTTCAAAATATCGAAGAAGTAAAATGAAAGAGAGGTATAGTATGAACAGATAAGAGCATTGTGTGATAGCCAAAAATGACTTGCCTACATAGCTAGTGTGCAACGTTCTCGGTTGCTTTGATCAACACTAGTTTCAAATGTAGGCAAGTCGTGGAGGCTAACTTACAAGTTCTTTTCTTTCATGCTAGACGCTCTCTTTTAAATAATTTGAAGAAGAAGAAGATCTCGATCATTCCAATACCTAATACAGTATTAGTCTTCACCTCGCTCTAAGTACTTCGACTTTTCGTAAATAGGTAATTCACGGGTC